ACCCAAGGAGTATGGTCTCTCAAGAGTAAGCTCTCAACAGTAAGTAACTTTCCACTTTCTCTATAAAGATGGGTAAATACCCAGAGGTAGGGGGCCTCAAGTATGAGCACCTCGGCTCCATACTCCACACATACACAAATTTTATCATTTTTTTAGTTTTATACACTAGTTTATTCATGTATTGATCATAATACTGATTTAGGCATCGGAGGGGCCTCCCCTGCCACAACGTCAGGGGTCCCTCTAACCTCTCTCGAATATTGTAGCTCATGGATTGGATGACCTAATGACGTGGCAAATGATGTGGTTATGCCACGGCAGCAACTTCTCTAGCTAAACAATTTTTTAGCATTTTCCATTACTCCTGCATAACTCTCTCACATCCCTTCCGTCTGCAACTTTAGCTCTTTCGTCTTCAACTTCTCCAGCAACTTTGCCTCTTGAATCCAAAAATAGTTACTGGGTTTCGATTGCCCTTATTCAATCTCAGGAAGAAAGCTGAAAGATTTTGAGAAGAAGAGGTGTGCCGTGAAATGGGGTTTCCCTGAATTTGAAGAGGTGGTGAACATTAATCATCTCTCCCCCTTTCTACATTGTCGTTGTCGTTGCTAGAAACCCAATAAACACTAGCTGGTGTTGGTCGATAAATTGCTCCACAAATTTTTGAGCAATATCTTGCACCAGTATTTCTCTCAGTCTCTCTTTCCCTCCCCCTCATTTATTTATTTATTGGGTGCTCTATATTATTCTTGTAGAGGTATGATAAAAATAGTTTTCAAACTGCTCGACAAAATTTATGTGTGAAACAATTTAAAAGCAGTTGGTTTTTTTTGGCAAAAATATTAGTTGTCGAAGTACCTTATTGTATCATCACTAGCATTCTGCAGAAAATTAAAACCAAGGTAGTGTAAAAGATATTAATAAGATTTAGAGTGAATAAATGAACCCTATGAGAGATGTTTGATGATAAAGGTTGGTTGGGTCGCTGTGAGCACTGTTGCTCTGCTTTTATGTTGAAGTTTCTGGGTGTAATGATTTAGCCGGCTTGCCTTGTTCTTCTTGAAGTTTATGCAATTCTTGTCATTATTGTAGCTGCCTTCAAAGTATTTTGAAGGATTAAAGCCAAGCAAGTGAAAATTTGTATTTTGATTCTTTCTCATGTAATTTTTTTATTCTTGTAATTCTTGGGTACAATCTATAAAATCTTTCTTTTTCAAAAAAAAAAAAATCTATGAGAGATACAAGCATAAAAAATAATACAACGGGTTTTATCCTATTGCAGTAGAACTAAGTTCAAAAAATGCACATAAATGTACGAAATGTCGTGTTGGATGATTTTCTTTTTCCCTTTCAACTGAAGTTATGTATGCAGTCAAGTTTTTTCTTTTTTTTCGTGGAGGCATGAATAAATGTGAAATAGAAAACTTTTAGGTCTTTCACTATTATTAGTTGTATCATCATCATTATAATTTTGTTGTAACCTGATTATGTCCAAAGAATAACGCGGTAGTTGTAGCACAGTTTTGAGGTGTCGATTTCACAGAAAGACAAACTAAAAGAATAGTAGAAGGAACTAAAAAAAATATTAAATAATTACTAGAGAACAAAGATTAATTTTAAATGTAACTTAAAGCGAAGCAAAGTGACTAACGGAAAAAGTACTCAAATTTAACAAACAGTAAAACATCGGCAATCCCTTGTATAAATCTGATATTTTAATTATTCTTATTTCATTGAATAACTCAATTGAGAATTTAATTCCCAAAATTTTTAACTGGAAGATATAGATTTATAAACCAAGATTAAACCAAATGAAACCCTTTGAAAAATCATTCACCACTTTTAAAATACATAAATTCTTATCACTATTAAGAAAATTCAACGACGATAATATACTCAAGAAGTAATATTGCAATAAAGAATTAAATCAATATAGATAAATAATTGATTCAAACATAATTAAAGAGCTAATCCATTTAATAGAAAAAGTCTGACTAAATTCATAAATCGAATAAATTCTATGACTATTCGGAGAAAAAAATATCAATAATAAATTGAAAATGATAAAATAAAAGAGTTTTACTAATTAGAAATCAAATGCATAAATTAAAAATAAATAAAATATCATCTATTGTACAAGTTCATCTCCCGTCTTACCTGAGAATTTAGTTATCCATAAATATAATGGACAACAAAAATCTCTTAAGAAAAATAGAACAAATCGACGGCATCGGAGCTTTTTTCCCTGATCTGCATCAGCTTCCCTTCTATTCGTTCACCAGCCACCCACTTTCTGCTTTTTCTTCCAGCCGCCAAAGGCAAAAAAAAAAAGACTAGCCCTCCCAAGAAAAAAAAACTAGGTTTAAAAGTCAATCTCTTTCTTTTTAAAAAAATATATTTTTCTCCCCTCTTTATTTCAACTTTTTTATTTCAACCCCTAAAGCCCAAATCCACATGCATGTTGAAAAGAACATAGCCCAAATCTGCTGAGTATTGGATCCACCATGACAGTTGCATCAGTTTCAGTCTTTTTACTCCATGGACTACCATCAAAATAAAAATAAATATAAAAGTCGAATAATAAATTTTCAAAAATGTTAATTGTAAAGTCCATTTGTAAATTATCTCTCACCAACCAATAATGCAATATTTGAGATTTAAAATATTATAAAGTCATGCTCAAATATATCTCAGTCTGAATAGATATTAAATTTAATAATATAAATTATATCTAATTATTTTTATTCACATTTTAGCATTTTAATCCAATAATAGGGTATTTAGAATACACTTCCGCGCACTCATCGTAACCGTATTGTTAATTAAACCAATATTTTTTTTATATCCTCTTCTTTTGCTGGTTACTTTAAAGCAATGACATGTTCCATTTTTTTTTTTTGGTTCAACCTTACTCGTGTTTGATAGGATGGAAAGGGAATCTTCAAGTACTATACAAGCAAATGAAGAAAATGTTGAGATTGAAATGGATAATGTAGTAAATATGGACAACGTAGTGGAAGAGCCCAAAGTTGGGATGATGTTTAATAGCTATGAAGATTTGTTTGACTATTAAACAACTTATGGGAAGCGATTGGGGTTCCCAGTTAAGAGAAGATCATCAACAAAATTAGATGACGGACAGCTAAAACATATATCGGTTGTTTTACACTATCATGCTTGATCACAACCTTGAGATAAGTCCAAGCAAAGCACGCTTTTTTCAATGCAATAAAGTAATGAAGCCACATGTAAAATGAAAGCTTGAGTTGAGTGACAGGGTTGGGATTAGAATAAATAAAAATTTCAACTCTTTTATGGTTGAAGCGGGTGGACATGAGAATATGTCATTTTTAGAGAAGGATTGTAGAAATTTTATTGAGAAAGCAAGGCGATTGCGACTCGAAGAAGGAGATGCTATGGAAATCCAAAACTACTTCTTGAAGATGCAAGCTGATAATGCAAATTTCTTTTATGCAATGGATTTGGATGAAGATGGACGATTAAGGAATGTATTTTGGGTGGATGTGAGGAGAAGAACAACGTATGAGAAATTTGGTGATGTTGTAACATTTGACACGACGTACTTAATAAATAAGTATGACATGTCATTTGCTCTATTCGTAGGTGTTAACCATCATGGGCAATCGACGTTGCTTGGATGTGGTTTAATCTCCAGTGAGAATACAAATACGTTTACTTGGTTATTTCAATGTTGGCTTGCATGCATGTCCTGGAATGCTCCAAGTGCCATAATCACTGACCAAGACAAAGCAATGCAAAAAGGAGTTGAGAACATCTTCCCTAATGCTAGACATTGATGATGCTTATGGCATATAATGAAGAAATTGTCAGAAAATTTAAGAGGTTATAAGTTGTACGAATCAATCAAATTTTCTTTGCAAAGGGTTGTTTATGATACATTGACTCGTACTGAATTTGAAGAAAGTTGGAACGAGATGATTGAGAAGTATACGCGACATAGCAATGATTGGTTGAGTGGATTGTACAATGAGAGACATCGTTGGGCACTAGTATTTGTGAAAGATAATTTTTGGACGGGAATGCCAACTACACAAAGAAGTGAGAGCATGAATTCGTTCTTTGATGGATATGTCAACTCTAAGACTATCTTGAAACAAGTTGTGGAACAGTATGAGAATGCATTGAAAAGTAAGGTGGAAAAGGAGACCCATGAAGACTGTCAGTCTTCCTCTTCATGGGTCCTATGTGTAAGTCATTTTGATATAGAGAAACAAGTTCAAAGTGTTTATACTATTTCAAAGTTTAAAGAGTTCCAAAATGAATTGATAGGAAAGATGTATTGTGATTTAACTTCAATTAAAATTGATGGTGTGACTTTAGAGTATGAAGTAACTGAGGATATAATGATTGAAGGGAGAACAAAGAGTGCAAATTTCAAGGTTTGGTTCCATGAAAAAGATTGTGAGGTGAAGTGCAATTGCTGCATGTTTGAGTTTAGGGGAATATTATACAGGCATACAATTGCAGTGTTAATTCGTAAGAAGATTTACTTAATTCCTAATAAATACATCTTACGATGATGGAGAAAGAATGTGAAAAGATGCCACACAATAGTCAAAATCAGTTATTATAGTTGGAGTACCACACCAGAAGCACTGTGATATGATGAAATGTGCAATGCATTTAGTGAGGTCGTAGGCCTGGCAACAGAATCTAAAGATAAGTGCATGGAAGTGATGGATTGGATATATGATTTGAAGGTGAATCTACAAAAAAATGGTGGCAGTGGAAGTTATCAACCAACTCCCAACTCAACTGTCCGTAAAATCTCTAGTTGTGATACTAATGATATATAAAAGGAGAGTCAGAAGATACTTTCTCGATTAGCAATTCGAAGCAAAGGTTGCCCACCATATAAAAGAAAGCAATCTAAAATGGAGCAAGTTGTTAGGAAAAAATTAAAAGAAAAGAAAAAAAGGACCTTACCACCTGGACATCATAACCTTGAAGAAAAAGGAATGAAGGTTTGAATAAAATCCTTATAATTTGTGTATGTGAAGTAATAAATTTATGGTTACAATATTTCCTAATTATTTTTTATGTCTTGCGGGATTTCCCAGTGTTTGGAAGTGATGTTGTTAGTTCTGTTGATGGTCCACCGAATAGAGAAGTAGTTGATGCAAGTGGAACACAAGAGAGTATTATTATCACGGTATAACCTAGTGGGTTTTTAAAATATTTGTTGTGTTCATACTTCAAACTAATTTTTACTGTAACTACTGGTCCTAATATATAGCCCTAAACAAATGTAGAATTCGCAAAGTACATAAGTTACTAATGTTGGTATGAGTGATGGTCAGTACCCTACATTGCACTTTTGTAACGTGAGTTAATGAAAATGACTTTTGTTATTGTTCTATTAATTTCATATGTTAAGTTGTTTATTAAGTTGGTGTATATTATTTATGACACAAAATAATTTGGCCTTATTGTGGGGTGTCACTTAAAGAGGTCATCCAAACCAAGCACATGAGATAGAAAATATAGCAAATCATACTTTCGATGAAAACCATTTCATGGTAAGCAATCTACCATAGTATCTGAAGTTCTTCTCGTGCTATAACATAACGTGTAGTTAATGGTCTTTTTTTTCCGCTTATTTAGCATAACCAATATTAAGGTTGGAATGGTGGATCTGTTATGGACACCATGCCTAGTTTTAGCTCCAAAGAATCAGTAAATATTCAAGAACTGCCAACTACACCTTCATCACCAATGTCTAATGGCAAATAAATTGGGTGAGTTAGAAAAATGACTTACAAATGAAATGCCATGATTTTATTATTTTACTTGACTATTTTTTGTTCTATTGCGGGTCTTGAAGGATGAAGATTGTCTCATTTTGCAAGAAGATTCCTTTTCATGTTCTCTTCCACAAAACTGTGTTGTTCTATTTTTAGACTAACAATTTAGGTTCTTTTTGATAAAACTCAAATGGTGTATAGTTGACCTTGTAATAGTTCTTGGTTTTATGTAATCCATCTCAAGAAGGAATTGCATTGGCTTTATTTTTTTTTTTTTGAATTTTATGCTTTAAGGGATATTTTATGTTGGTTATCCACTAAGCATTTGAATATTGTTGTGGCTTGAGTTGGATGGGGGACAGGTTATCCTTGTTGTTGGTGAAGGGGACACAGTTGCATTATTGTGTGATTAATAAATGTTTGTGGCTTGCAGAATGAGTGATAAAATTATCTTTGAGATGCATTATGGGAGTCAATTCCAATGGGAACCACATGTATATGAAGGTGGTACTACGGCGCTTATAGATGGTTGTGACCCTAATATAGTCTCCCCATTTGAGATCACAAACATGTATGTGAAGGCTGAGGAAGATGGTGCGAATCTTGATTTTTACTATAGGATACTGGGATAATCTAGATTTGGATTTGAAAAAAAATTGTTCAAATCAAGATGTACAAGAGATGTATAAAGTTTATGGTGGTGGTTATATATGTTGACAGAGATGGTGAGGACTTACATAGCTCTTAATGAAGTGGGTGATACGGGAGAGAGTGATAGTGACTCTGAAGTTACCTACATATGGTGGAAAAAGAGGCCAAGTTGTTGGGAAGGGGCACAAGTGATGTAAGGATTGGTGTTGGAATACCGCAACTTTTGCTGGAGGGGTACAACTGCTACTGGGGTTGGAAATGGTGCACTGGGTAGAGAAATTGGAGGGAGATTAACACTTTCTAGTGTGTTGGATAAAATCAGAGCAAGAAAATAAAAAAAATTAACAACAATATCTTTTTAAAAAATGATGATTGTTGTGCTTTTGGCTTTTTTGTGAAATTGTTATTAGTTTGTTTTGTTTTTTGGTGAAACTGCAATGTTTTGTTATGTTATGTTGTTCAATACATTGCCACTGATTTTTCATCAAAAAATGAACTAGAAAACAAGAGTTTACTTGAGTGTAATTGCCTGCTTTGTGGCCAGCCGTCTCTTTAGATTGTATTGGATGCAGGATTTTAAGTTTATGACATCACACAAGATTTTCATGGCAGCACATGTGTCTGCAACCTTGTTGGAATTCAAACTCTTTAACTCACACAGATTTAACAAATGTGCAAAGCAAAATGAAAATTTTTTAAACCTTGTAGATTGTCATCACATTCATCAAAGGGCAAAAGTAATCATTTCCCTTTCATTATTTTTGCATAAATAAAACTAAATGTGTTTACATGACAAATGTATACAATTTTGAAACCACTACTACAGTAAAGGCTTCACCAACTACTACAATTTCACTCCAGCAATCCAATTAACAACAACACTCATACCCCACTCCAATAACAAATATTCCCAAGACTAGATAAAGTTTGAGGCAATTCATCAAACAACTTGTAGACGAAGTCAAATCATATATAGCTGCAAAGTATTCCAATACAAGCACGTACAAGGAAGCCAAATGACAACAACACTCATACCCTACACCATCTTTACCAGCCAAAGTGTCGTACTCCATCGCACTGCCATCGCCCACCTCAGACTGAATAAGGACAATTGAAACCCAATAACCATGCTCTGATTTAAGGAAAACCCATTCAGGATCAATGATTCAGCTTTTTTCCTCAGAATGAATGAGGGCAATCGAAACCCATTAAACCCTCTTCAAATTCAAGGAAACCCCATTTCACAACCCATCTCTTCTTCTCAAAATCTTTCAGCTTTCTTCCTGAGAATGAATAAGGGTAATCGAAACCCATTAAGTGTTTTTAGATTCAAGAAGCAAAGTTGCTGGAGAAGTTGCAGACGGAAGGGATGTGAGAGAGTTATGCGGGAGTAATGGAAAATGCTAAGAAATTGTCTAGCTAGAAAAGTTACTGATGTGGCAAATCCACGTCATTCGCCACGTTATTAGGTCAATATTTTAGGTCAAAAAATTATATCCCAATAACATTTCTCATACCCAAAGGTAAGGGGCCTCAAGTATAAACACTTCGGCTCCATACTCCACACAGACACATATTTTATCATTTTTTTAGTTTTATAAATTAGTTTATTCATGTATTGATCGCAATATTGACTTAGGTATCGAAGGGGCCTCCCCTGGCACAACGCCGAGTGTCCCTTTAACCTCTCTTTGATTTTGCAGCTCATGAATTGGATAATATTCAAAAACTAGGGGCGCACCTCAACACATTTCAGTGATTTGCGAATTTTTGCCCGCACAATCACCAATAGAATAATCTTCAAGTTTCCCTGAGTTGTCAACAAAAATAATTGAAAAAAAAAACATCATGTAGTTTTTTTTAACACATGAAAGATTCCAAAACATATAAATAGTATTACTATGAAATAAATGATTCTCGTGTTAGCCTAAATATCTTAAAAATAAAACTGAGTTTAATTGAACATCGGCATGAATCCTTCTTCTCAGCTTTATGGGACCTTCAAATAAAATTAGGCTTAAGTAACTTGCGTATAAATTTTTATTTATCGAGTCTCACATTAGTCAAGAGGCCTTGTAGATAAAATATAGCTTAATTGAGGGGCTGTTTGATAACACCACTTAAGGTTTAAAACTGAATACTTTAAGCACTTAATAAATTAAACTCGTTTGATAACCTAAAATTCATACTACTTAATATTTTAAGCACTTTTTAAAAATAGGATAAAATTTTTAAATAGAAAGTCACTTACTTATCACTTAATATTGAAAATGTTAGTCAGTAAGAATTTTATCAATTTTTCATAATGGAAAAATATACCATCATCACTATTGTGTCATCACCACCACCACTAACACTATCACTATCACCATCACCATCGCCATCATCGCCGCCACCACCATTGTGCCACCGTCACCATTATCATCGCTACTACCACCACTATCATTGTGCCACCGTTACCACTACCATTGTCACCACCATCGCCATCACTACCACCACCATTGCCGCCACCACCATCACCACCATTGTGTCGCCGCCACTGCCACTACCATTATGTCATTACCACCACCACCACCATTGCGCCACCGTTATCACCACTATCATTGCCACTACCACTACCATTGCCATTACCACCAACATCACCACAACCATCGCCACCACCGTCACAACTATTATGTCGCCACCACCACCACCACTACCACCACCATTGTCATTGCCACCGCCACCACCACCATCACCACTATCGCCACCACCACCACCATTATGTCACCACCACTACCACTACTATCACCACCATTGTAATTGTGGTGATAAGAATGATGTAGTTGTAGAGAGATGGTTAAAGAGAAGGGAAAAATTAGAATTATAATATTTTTAGACTTCAGTTCCTTATATTTATTAAATAATTTGATTAAATTCAATACTGAAATTTCAGTTGATAACAAACAATCAGCGAATTAAAAAATTCAGCATTCTGTATTTAAAATTCAGTATTCAATTTTCAGTGTTCAACTTTCAATTTTATCAAACACTACCTGACTATGTGTCTAAAATCCTCCCTATCAAATTTCTAAAAGTTCCTAGAAACAAAATTGTGCTTAATTAAACTTGGATTTAAATTTTTTTTACCGGACTTCCAAATCAAAATTGAACTTAATCAAATTGAGTTAAAAAAATTTACCCTTACACACTAGCCTAAGGCCCAACTAAATTCAAAAATTTAGTTAAATCGTGCAAAAATATATAAGATAGGTGACTTCTTAGTTTTTTTATTTCATGGGGTAAGGCAATATTTTTTGATATATTTATAATAGATACTGGTGTAAGAATAAAATTTTCTCCATTTTTTGGCGTGGAAAAGACCACAATTTATTTTGTCAAAATAATCCTCCTCAAAGAGCAAGTGACACTTTTCCTTGCACTTTTTGATAGATTTGCACATAGGGATTAAATTGAAATACCACAAAAGTTTGGGGCCTTGATATTTAAAATGAAATATGGCAAAAGCTTGGGTGTTTGATATTTCAATTGATAGTTAAAACTTAAAAAGATCAGATAGAAATATAATTGATGTGACAACTTAGCATTCAAGGGTCAAGTTCATGAGAGATTTATTTTTTATGAATATTGTAGTTCTGATGTAGATGATTTGCCTTCAATCGTACCTGAAAAATGAATTAATTGGATTGTGCATAAGTTAACCCAAATATCATTGACCATTAAATAATAATAATAAAAAAGAATACCACATGAACTTGACTCAACATAAAATTTAAATGTTTGATACAAAATGATAAATGAGTCAAATTAAGATTAACAATAATGTTAATTGAACATAATTTGTTAACATAATCTATCACAACACAACCATTTGATTAATTGTGGTTCTCAATAAATACTGAGGTCCATTATCAATCAAATAATTATGAATGCTTAGATTAATAAATTATGTCAAAATAATATTGCTCGACATAAAAATAATAACTTTTATAATACGACCTGAAAATGACAAATAAATGTTGGGCGTAACAAATACACTATGTTATCATGCAGACATGGTGTAACCATGCAATAATAAGACAACACGTGGGCAAGTGGATCCCACGTCATTAATTAATACATATTCTAATTGAGTTATGTAATATGACTCATTTTAATTAAACGAGTTAAAATTGATACTCATTAGATTGAGTATTTATCTTTCTCTTAAATAACAAAAGTAATAACATTAAATACACATACTAATATACCAAAAAATGCACATACACTCACTAATACACCCGACTTGACCCACGACCCACAACCGACCCAATCCTATGTGTATGTATTTTGGTGAATAGTCTATATTTTGGTATTTTATTAAATGTATTTATATTTTTTGTATGATGATGTATTAATATATGTGTTTTGATGTATTAATATGTATATTTTAGAGTATTAGGGTGTGTATTTTTTGTATATTAATATATATTTATATTCAAAATTTTAATTATTTTATAAATTAATAAATTTAACTCAACCTTTGGTGGTCTAACCTATTATAATTTATTTATTAAACAGGTTCGAAACAAATTGGATTTGTTTTACACCAACTTCATTTTGAACACCAGCACATAATGAGCCCTAACCACTCGTTTGCCACCTCTAGGTTAATATCATCTCAGTCTGGTACCACCATTGATGCTTTTTAGTCAAGAAGCATCCTTTTTGACATTTCAATCGTGTGGGTTGTATTTGCCGCTTACTATTCACTGTGTGCTGCAAAACGAAGCGGGAAAGTGGAGAGAGAGAGAGAGACTACGGCACACTTCTCGCTCCCCCTATCGGCGTCGCCATTGAAGCTGCATAGAACGTAAGCTCACCAAACCTCTCTCTCCTTATATCAGTATCTGTACAAATAAGTGTAGTAATTTTTATTTAATGGGGATTAGAATTCTTGTGGGTAGAACGAAAGTGGTAGAATTAAGTACTGTTAGTCACA